TACAGGCACCCACGACCACGCTCAGCTATTTTTTGTATTTTTAGTAGAGACAGGTTTCACCATGTTGGCCAGGCTAGTCTCGAACTCCTGACCTCAAGTGATGCACCTGCCTCGGTCTCACCAAAGTGCTGGGATTACAGGCGTGAGCCACCATGCCCAGTCTGAGCAACCTTATTTTTAATCTCAATCCCTTTGGCCATTTTACACATGGAACAAAACAATTTCAGTGTTACTTCTTACCATGGCATTTTTTACTAAAAAGAAAAGATAGAGCTGCCATCACGTGAGATGGGGAATCAAGTTTTGTGAGGAAGACAAGGAATTCCAAATTGGACAGTTAAGTTTTAGATGCCTCACAGATATCGCAAGGGGAAATGTCTCATAGAAAGTCGAATACAGGAATCTAAACTTGGAGGTAGAGATCATATTGGAGATATAAATAATGGTGCATATTATTAAAGCACATGAGAGGGTCTAATACAAGAAGTCTATTTAACTTTGCTTAACCCAGAATTTATCAAATCTATCTGGCGATGCAAAAATGGAAATACCTGCTAACCATCTATACTATCAGTCTGTCCTGGGATACACATTGGGAAACACTGTTTTACTGACTCCTCCTGTTCTTCCATGCACTCTGCTCTTCCAGTGCTATCTTCCTTCCTGGAGGCACTCCCCAGCCACTCTGCCTCGTGCTGTTGTTCCTCCATACAAACTCTCCCACAGCTCAGTCATCATCTCACACAGATCTCCAAATGCTTCCATACTTTCTCTTAGGAGGCTCTAAAACACCAGAAACCAGGGACATCAAAAACAAAACACATATTTCCTCTCAAAAAACTGTCACTCCAGTTCATTTTTCCCCAGTTCTCCTCTCACAATTTCCTTCACCACCACTCTCTAAATCCAGTCAGCCACAAAATCGGCTTCCTTCTTGCCAGCATCTCAGAGGTTACTCTTCCTCTTCATTCTAGATTCATTATCTTAGTTCCTCATGGCAGGCTTACTCCAGTAACTGCTTAGTCTTGGGGCTCTCCATGCTGAGTTCGTACACTGCTGTCAGACTAGCTGTACTGAAATGCTGTTCCCATCACATCACTTCCCTGTGAAATTTTCATACTGGGTTTTCAGTTGTTTGTTAGATTAAATGCAAATTCTGGTGCCTAGCTTTTATGCCTTCCTATCAATAGTCTTGCCCATTCAACCTCATTTCCACTGCTGTAATTCTAATCTAGCTAAAACAGTTTCCAAAATGGTCCCAAATGTTCAAAATCTGCTCAATTCTACAGGATTTCATTTCTTCTCTCCCAGATAAAATGTCTTCTATATGCTTCCACTGCTTAAATATTAAACTCCTTTCATAGCACACTCTGTTAAGCCTCTTCCAACTAGCTACATCTAACAGTAATCATACTGCTTTATATTCAGTGTTATTGCATTTGGTCTGACCCACATGTAACTATTTATATCAGGACTAGAAATCTGTTTTCTGTAAAGGGCCAGAGCAACTATTCAAGTCTGCCACTGTAGCACAAAAGCAATAGGCAATACGTAAATAAATGACTATGGCTGTGTTCTGATAAAACCTGATTTACAAAAAGAAGTGCGTGGGCCATAGTTTGCTAACTCCCAGTATATATAACTATTTTTAAATTAATTTACAAAATTTCTTGACATAATTCCTACAATTAACATTCAAATTTGGCCCTGTGCTCCCAGGAAGCTAGGGTAAATAAACAAAATAAATGATACCTCTTTTATAATCTAAAAGATAAGCAAATATCCTTTATCAAAGAAAACAAACATTTTTGTGACCTGAAACTCTGAAGGAAATTTCTCACATTGGGCTTTATAAATGGAATACAGAGTAATATAATAGGCAATATTCTCAATAACAATAGCAAAAGGAAATGTTATATTACTTTTTTCTTTTTTTTTTGCCCAGGCTGGAGTGAAATGGCATGATATCGGCTCACTGCAGCCTCCGCCTCCAGGTTCAAGCGATTCTCCTGTCTCAGCCTCCAGAGTAGCTGGGATTACAGGTGTGTGTCACCATGACTTTCTAATTTTTTGTATTTTTAGTAGAGGTGGGGTTTCACCATGTTGAACAGGCTGGTCTCAAACTCCTGACCTCAGGTGATCTGCCTGTCTCGGCCTCCCAAAGTGCTGGGATTACAGGTGTGAGCCACTGTGCCCGGTCATATTACTTCTCTTTCAAGCAAACACTCAATAAAGCCACAGG